CTCAAAATTCTTCAAAATTTTAACAATCCTCTTTTGCCAATCCAATATAGGAAAATTATCCAGGTCACTCTCTTAGTTCGTTATTTGTATAAACTTTCAATTACTAAGCTATCAGCCAGTTTCTATTGTATCTCTAGTATAACTTCTTTTTCTATGTGATTCTTGTAGCCTACCATTTTTAAATCCACTTTGAAATCAGTCTCAATCATGCCATACTTGTTCCTCTTCCATAACATTTTTAAACCATTTTTATCTACAGAAGTAGATATTCTTCAAATTAACTTCTGAGTCTCTTGTTCCAAAATATCCAAAATTAAAACATTTTGCTTCATTCTGTATTAGTAAGTTGACTTTGAATATTCTTCTCCTTTAACTGTAATATTCTAGTATCTTCTAATGCCCAATTTTTAAAGGTGTACCTTGTTTTTAATTCAAAACAAAACATTTTCAACAGGAAGGTTTCTTATAATCAATTCCAAATATTTCAAATTTATCTGGATCTTTAGTCTGTTCATAACTTTGTAAAATCAGTTTTAATAATCTTTTTGTCATTTATTTCTATAATGAAATGTGGAAATGACCTTGGGAGATAGAATGGAAGGAGGAAATGGTGCCTAGGGAATGATCAGCTAAGAGAGGGCAAACCCTCAGCTGCATTACAGGCAGATAAAGGAACCTCCCTAACTTATCAGGCTATTAAAAAAAATAAGATTGTTGTCAACCTTTCCAGGTAGACCAGATAAGAAACATGACCAGATTCTCTAATTCTATTTTATTGTAAGGCTCTATTAACAGAATCTTGCAAGACTAACAGTGCAAACAGGGCAAAACTCCCATTGCCCTTTTTACAGCCTGATAAGTTATGAAGGTCATAATCCAGACATTGGAGGAGAACAAGATAAAACAAACTATGGGGAAACACAACTGAAGAGTGCAGTTGTATTTCTAGAAAGAGTGCAGAGAAGAGCAACAAAGATGATTAGGGGACTGGAGGCTAAAACATATAAGGAACGGTTGCTGGAATTGGGTGTGTCTAGTTTAATGAAGAGAAGGACATGATAGTAGTGTTCCAGTATCTCAGGGGCTGCCACAAAGAAGAGGGAGTCAAGCTATTCTCCAAAGCACCTGAAGGCAGGACAAGAAGGAATGGATAGAAACTAATCAAGGAGAGAAGCAACCTAGAACTAAGGAGAAACTTCCTGACAGTTAAAACAATTAACCAGTGGAACAACCTGCCTCCAGAAGCAGTGAATGCTCCAACTGGAAGTTTTTAAGAGGAGACTGGACAGCCATTTGTCTGAAATGGTATAGGGTTTCCTGCCTGAGCAGGGGGTTGGACTAGAAGACGTCCAAGTGTTATTTTATTGTATTATAGAGTTCAGGGGGCTACCAGCTTGCAACAAAAGCCAGAGCAACCTGATGTGTTTATGCATTGCATATAAAAAGATCAGAATCATGAGTGATGGCAAGGCAGTTTTTCCTCTATAAAAATGGTAACTGGGGATCAACAGTTTGGCAGGAATCCTGTCTGTGCTGTGATTCTAATTCATCCCCAATTCCAATTTAACACAAGTACAATGTGTTAAATAGATGCCAATTTATAATAAAATGTAGATTAGCTCTAGACAATTGGGAATAGAACTTTTCCTTCCAGGACAGATGTTAGATTGCAAAGTCAGGAAGACCTTGCATAGCCATTAGGCATATGCAAAATGGTTCCAATGTGTTTCAGATGCAGCTATCAAAGGTAACCCTCTTTTGCACTTGAAACAAAGAATTTTCTGCCTTAGGAAGCACTGAGATGGGATCACTTCTCAGTCCATATGCTACCCATATATAGAAAATCATTGTGGGACTAAGACATTTCTAAACTGAAATAGTATAGTTACACTAAATCAATAATGAAAAGGTACCCTTCTGTTTTTAGACCTGTTTTGATGGAATGATTCAGTTGAATCCCCTTCAAGCTGAATAATTCCATAAAAGTATGAAACAAAATTAGTGGCCACCTACTGCTGTTATAGTTATATGCTCACTTTAAATGCATATGTGGATTCAGAGGTCCTTCAAAAATTGTACTGTTGGAACACCCCCCCCCCATTTAAATACATTGCCAATGAGAAATAAACTTCATAACTCTGAAGGAATCTATTTGTTGAAAGATTGCAAAACTTATTTCTAATTTTTAAAAACTATTTTTTGAAACTAATTTTTCCTTCCCATGTTTTTCTCCTTTGGAGACAAAATGGCTAAGCATACTGTATCAAAGTAAAAGGTTGCCTTCATTAAGCATATTAAAGTAAAAAGGCATAGAGTATAGCTTTGAAATCCAGTCATTTTAAGAATGGTCTTTTCAAATTGCACACATAGACTTTTTCTAACTGTAAAACAGTTTGCACAAAGTAACAAATAGATATGTAAAAAAAAAATGGCCAGCAAGTTGTTCACATATCAAATCTTGGGCAAATTGCTAAAGTACTGTACATTATCTTGTTTTTCTTAATCCAACTTGGTTCAGATATGCTTTTGGGTAAATGCTTAACCTCCTGAGCTTTGTTCCCCAAATTTTTTTACTCATGTGTTCAGCACAATATGTTTTTCCAGAAGCTTTTCAAAATTATTTAACTGTTCCCATAGCAGAATATGAATGTAAAATAAACTTCTAAAATATGCCCCCAGCATATATTTCTCCAAGAATGCTTTTATTCTTAATCTACAGAACATTGCCAAGTCTTGTGCTGCCAAAATATAGTACAGTACAGAACAAAAATATATTGGAAAAGATTTTATGGAAAATAAATACATTACATAAATGTTTTCTCACCAATTAAGTAATTAATTAGATAAATTCTAAACCTTATGAAACATTCTTTTTTGGGATTCTGAAAAGCCCTTAAGATTTGGCTATGGTGGAACCAGAGACCTATTTAGATGATTCCACTCATGAATCACAATCTGTGTTCCTACTCTCTCAGGAATTGTAATTTTAACTTTTATGATATTTTAATATCAATTTCGTATTTACATTTTTCATCTGATGTCTGCCACCCAAAGTTACCTTTTGTGAGATGGACAGCTATATAAAATTCATAAATAACCATTTCTTCCCCTAAGATAGCTTGCAAAATCAAAAAAAATACACAATCCAACTATAAAACAAAGAAAAATCAACAATTAAAGAAATAGACAACTGATAAGAGATGGCTTTAAAAAACAAACATGGATATTTGATCTAGGAGGAATTATTTTTAACTTTAATTTTTAACGAAACCGCAGTTTCCTTACGAACAGGTAGGCCAGCATTTCTCGGTCTCCAGTAATAGTTCTGGGAGTATGGACCTCAACACTCAGAATTCTCATCAGTGGTCATGTTAGCTATGGAATTCTGGCAGTTGAAGTTCCTGACTGAGGAAAAGACCTTAATGAATAAGTTTTTTTTGTTTAATTATATCATCCTATATTTATATACAGTTTGAATGAAGATAAAATATTAATATATACAGGAAAAAGAAAAGAAAACTTTACATTGGGTATATTTATTTTTCCACATGATTGTATGTGCAAGATGCTTCCATATTGTAGAAAGTTTATAGGGTACATCAGTTTTGAAACTAAACAAGATGCTATCTCTCTTAAAACAGAAGCATAATTATAACAAGAGGTATAATCATCATCATCATCATCATCCAGTCTGAACATCTGGCTGACTGTGCGATGATCCATAATAATAATAATAATAATAATAATAATAATAATAATAATAATAATAATAATAGAGTTGGAGGGACCTTGGAGGTCATCTAGTCCAACCCCCTGCTCAGGCAGGAAACCCTATACCATTTCCGACAAATAGCTGTCCAGTCTCTTAAAAACTTCCAGTGTTGGAGCATTCACTGCTTCTGGAGATAGGTTGTTTCACTGATTAATTGTTCTAATTACGGAAGTTTCTCCTTAGTTCTAGGTTGCTTCTTTCTTTGGTTAGTTTCCATCTGTTGCTTCTTGTTCTGCCTTCAGGTGCTTTAGAGAATAGTTTGACTCACTCTTCTTTGTGGCAGCCCCTGAGATATAATTAAATGTACTATTCCATGCTAACTAATGTACAAAATGTCATTATTCCCATAGGAAACATAAGAAAAAGAAAAATAATTAGGAGGAAAATACTATGGATATTTTTTTTACTTTGTCTTAAAATGAAAAAAAATAATCCTATTAGATCAAACTGAAATCAAATAGATCTATTTGATTTTCTATATTATGAGTACAGATGCCTTTGAGAAGCAGTTGGTCAGAAAACTGAAAAGCTCCTGAGAGCATGAAGTAACTATGACTTATGTGTCTGGTATTTGAATGATTTTTCCAACTATACAAACTGTATTCATACACACACAGGGAATTTTTCCCCCCATACGACTAGTAATTACTTTGTTTCCCTATCCTGATGTTGCCCGGTGTTCTGGACTTCAATAATCCTTAGCCAGGGAAACATATTTGAGGATACCAGGTAAGAGAAAGCTATCAGAAACTGCAGAAGCATCTTTCAGCCACAGGAAATCTTAGGGGCTGAAAAAAGTGTCACAAAATACAATACATCAGGTTGAAGTACTGTTAACATGAAGCATCTTGTCTAGATGAAGGGCATTGCCTTGCATAGTCTATAAGAGAGCGCTCAAGCCTGCAAGCAGTGATGTAAACTTTGGCAGGGAAAAAAAGAATCTAGCTTTCTTTTCTTGCATGCAGCACAACTAGTATTATCAAACATAATTTATTTTAACATTACATCAACAACAACTTTAGAAAAAAAAACTGATCCTGGTTTGTAGAGATGAAAAAGAATTATTTTCTTTGTAAAGAGCACCCATTAGAATTGTGTCATGACAGGGCAGGAACAGAACTCAAGAGTAAAATACAATCAAAACTTGTACATAGTCTTTATATCAGGTTGCTGGCATATAAAAAAGCAAAATTATGTCCTAAATTTAGAAGTAATAAAAGGTGCTTACCAATTTTTTTTCTCCATCAATTTTTGGGTCATCCACATAAGTAAGTACAAAGTCTATTCTCCGTTTACCATCTCTGAAGAAAACAGAATCCTTGCTTTGATGTCTCTTATCAATCTAGATAGAACAGAAAGCATCACTATATCAGCATCCATTGTACATATATTAAATATCCTTATGTATCTAAGTTTTTTCAAACTTTCAGGAAAAGACTACGGTCAAATAAGGTTTAAATAACATTTATTTTCAGACAGATATTTGCAACACAGTTACAAAATATTTTTCTTATATTTGCATAGCCAAACACTGACATGACTGACTTTCTTCATAAATAAGCAAGCACAAATGCAGAGACGTTTGCCACAATAAAGTCACTCTGTTATAAAGATATTTATTAAACAGTAACATCTGAAGCCTACACTATGACTCACACATTCACCATAGAGTAAAGAAGCTAGTCAACATACATTTGAACGAGGACACAGAGTTGCTACTTTGAAATGCTCTTTTATGTTGCCAAAGTATTTTAGTCCAGTGCAATTTTGTACATTTTACTGTATAGATGATAAAGTGACAACATGTGAAAGCAGAAAGCATAAAAGCAGCTTTGAAAATAAAGAGTAAGTGCTATAATATTATAGTTTAGGAAAACAAGATGTGCAGAAATGAAATCTACCTGACTGCAAATTTTATGGGAATAAAAAGTATTTACAGTTGCACAGGTCTGATATTGTTTGTTTGTTTTTAAATATATTTCTTACTTTCAAAAAGTGATTAGTAGCAATCACACTGTAATAAATTTGGGTAAACTCCCCCTTTGTAATTTACTTGCTATTTCTGAACTTCAAAAGGAGATTTCTGGGACTTTCTAAATAAAATAAAATAAAACTAAAAACAATACAAAACAAAATCCTAAGAAAACTTTAAGGGAAAAAATCCCCATGATCATGTGATCAAAATTCAGATGCATGGCAACCAGTTCATATTTATGACCATTGCTGTGTCCCAGGATCAACTCTTGCAACCTTCTGGGACAGGTTCAGGGTCTTGCAATAATTGGAAGTATAAACAGGGAGAAGGAAAGATTCAGTTAAAGACTTTTTGTTGAGTATATTCAATGTAGTGCCAAGGTGCTGGCTATACACCAGAAGAGCGTGAGTTCTAGTCCTGCCTTGTGCATGAAATTGGCTGGGTTAGGCACTCTCTCTCAGTCCCACTGAGGAATAAAGATAGCAAACTTTGGAGGTTTCCATTTTGAATTCCTTCAGAACTAAATTTGGAGAATCCAAATGGTTCAGACAATGAGTTATTTATTCCAAAGGGTTGAACAATGTGATGGAATGTGCAGTTGGAAGAGTGGGAATAGGGGAATCTCAGCATTTGCACCATAGCTTCCTAGTCTATGGAGATTCTCAGTCATCCAGGTCATAGTTATTCCAAAGATGCTTTTTCACGAGGTAACTGGACTTTCTTGTTTTTCTTTGAAGACGTTTCACTTCTCATCCAAGAAGCTTCTTCAACTCTGACTGGATGGTGGGGAATGGAAAGATTATACTACTGCAGACAGCTGTTCATTTGCATTCTTCTAGTAAGTTGTTGATGCTACTTGGAGCTTATCTGTATCTTCAGGGTCACCTGAGTAGTGCAAATGGGTGTGGAGCCTTCTTGGAATTATTGAAAGGACTGTGTTGTAGACTAGAGATAGATGATGTCATATCCCTCCCCCTCTGTTGAGAGAGGGATGTTCAATTTTGACACAGATGGCCTCTTTGACCCCTCTTTCAAACCAGTGGGATCTATGTCAAAATTGAACAGCCCTCTTTCAACAGAGGGGGAGGGATACGACATCATCTATCTCCAGTCTACAACACAGTCCTTTCAATAGTTCCAAGAAGGCTCCAGGTAACATTAACGACTCGCTAAAAGAATGCAAATGAACAGCTGTCTGCAGGAGTATAAATCTTTCCATTCCCCACCATCCAATAAGAGCTGAGGAAGCTTGGGTGAGAAGCGAAATGTCTTCAAAGTAAAACAAGAAAGCCCAATTGCCTTGTGAAAAAGCATCTCTGGGATAACTACGACCAGGACAACTGAGAATCTCCATAGACTGGGAAGCTATGGTGTGAATGCTGAGATTCCCCTATTCCCACTCTTCCAACTGCATATTCCATCACATCGTTCAACCCTTTGGAATAAATGACTCATTATTTTCTGATTCTCCACAATTCTATAATACTTCTTTGGATGCTAATAAAAATGGTGTGCTGACTTCATTCTTAAGGGTACCAATGTCATGGTTTATCTAAAAGCATCATGTTAGTGTTTTTTTTCCATTAGGCTAGGGGTAAGATAAAATAATCTTTAAAGGTTCTTGCAGCCCTTCTACCCTTTGATCATGTTTGAATAAATATAAGGCACTTACCCTATGTATAAGAGAGCACCACTATAAGGCTGAGTATAGGCTACAGAAGAATTGGATTCACAACCTCATATTTGTTATCTAAGTGATTTATACCTATTTTTAAAATGCTAGACTTTACTAAATAGCATTTTATGTCAAGAATTATTCCAATGCAACATTTTTTTCAATTGTCAAAATAAATTTAGCAATTAAAAAGTTATAACATAAAGCTGCTTCATATCTTTCAATGAAACAGGAGCTATATAGACAGCTCTAGGATCGTTATCTTTTGACAGATACTGAATTCTCTCTAAGTGTGTATGATTTATATTTATCTGTTTAAGGTACAGGCTAAAATTCATTACTTCATCTTGTTCCCTATTAAAGAGAGACATCACATAATGAAGCTTGTTATCATTGCAGCCATCCAGGTGTTAGTGGTACAACTTGTCAATGGTTTACCCTGAGACGTCGTTTCAGGAACAGATTGAATCTCCTTCCAGACTTCTGGAATAACCAACAGGGTGTTAACATATGAGCAAACTCTCTTTTTTTTTAAAAAAAACACCTAACTCTACAACTTTGTATGATCGGGGATTGAAGTAATTTCCCCAGATTATTGAATAACTTTACAATCTGAAGGAAACGAAGGGGCAAGAAATGCCTATATTAGGTCTTCAAGAAAGCCTTCTACAAGCTGTTGTCCTCCAAATATGCTAGAAATGAAACTGCCAGAATTTGCAGTCCTGCTATTTTGGAATGCTTCAACAAATCTGTAGGAAATAAAAGGCGTTGTAATATTCAGAATAGCCATCCACAGCCTCCTTAGGAGATGTAGAGTCATTGTTTTCATAACCCTTTCATATTTATTATTCATGGATAGAAGTTACCAGCTTGGATTCAACTGGTGGTGTTATAACAAGAATGAATGATGTTCTGCCAGAAGAATGGACATTGACTTTTGAGGACCCACATTTGTACTTATAGACTTCCCGAATTACTTATTATACCTTTATATTAAGTTAAAGAAAGTTATATAAGAAGTTGGTTTCTTAACAAATATAAGACTCGTTTTATGATCCTATCCAGATTAAATATTTTGTAATTAATCCATACAACAAAGAACAATATTCATTCAGAGCTATATAATAATATTCTTGTTACCAACATGGAGAAGTTATATTCTTCAGAGCTAGTTTCCGTGTTTTTAGAGTTATGAGATAATGCAAGGTTAGTCACATATTATGTCCTTTGTCTTATAGGGTAAGTCTTATTTTATTCCTGACCTTAGTTTTCATCAAAATGTAATATTATTAAATACTTGGCCTTTCTTTATCCATAAATCTGAAATAAGCTATAATGTGTACCTTGCTACATTTATCAATATTTAGTGTAAAGTGGCTTTAACTTCTGAGGCAACAGAAACAAAAATCTGATTTAGGAGATGGAATCTGATCTTGGATAAATCTCCATTTATCTCTCAGTAACTTCAATGGCTGCTTTTTTTCTACCCTGGAATGAGAAAACTCTGAAAAATGTGGCAGGGTTTGAAAGTCTAGAGCAATTGAAGGTAGAGAGACTGAAGGAGTCACATGCTGCCAAATCTCTGCTGTGAGGAGATATGATTCATTTATTTGTTTTTCAAAGGAAAAAAATAGTAGAAAAAAAAAGCAAATGCTATTTGTTTCTCCACATGTACGTTGCCAGTATATTACTAGAAGGGTGATAGGTTCATCAGGTTTTTTTTCAGTTGTAGTCTCATATATATTTATCTAAAAATAGGTCCTACTGTACTCCAAGAAATTTTATTCTGCGCAAACATGCATATTATTGCATTGCTATGAAACAAGTATATAGTTATGATCAGAATTATGAAAATCCAGCACTTAGTACAATTGCAGAGGGCAATAGAGAGCATCTTGAGGATTTTAGATTCTGTCTTTAAGTAAAGTCAGCCTTAAGCAAAAGGTGGATTGTCAATGTCCAGTGAAAACTCAGAAATGAATATTTTAATATTGTACTGTCCTTTGTGCCTCTCCTATAAGATAAAATGCCATTGTATTATTTTTGCAATACAAGAGACTTCTCACTAACATAATAAAATACGTCTTCCTAGATTAGGATCTTATATTTTAAAAAAAATGTCAACACACATCACACATTAATATCATTTTATATCACACACACACACACATACACACAAAATGGGGCATTTTTGTGCTGTTTTGTCTCTCAATATTTTTCAAGATATTAGAATATAAACCAGAAGAATATAAATGTTCCTATTACACTTTTGAAAAAAGCACTGCATAGTTTAATTATTTTGCTACATAAAAAGTTATACAAACCTTAATAAAAAACCAACATGGTTTTTTACTAATAAAAGGTTTTCACCAGCCTTTCAAATATAGATTCATAAAGAGAACACAAACACGGATTAAATTGCTTTTTAAGATTTACTTTCATTTTCTTTCAATATTATACTTTTCACCATATAATATTTTAAGGCAGTAATAGAAAAACTCTGCTCCCACATCAAAACTATGAGTTATATCAATGCACCAAAAGACCCATGGCAAAAGTTAGTAATAGAAAATATATATTACCAAGATATTACCCATGTGAGGAGCTGAAGAAGTATTATATCAGAATTAATTACATTTAAATTACTTCTAAAAGAAAGAAATATACATTTTAGGTCTATTTTCTGAATACATTGAGGTAATCAAAACAGATACAATTTTATCCTGCTTTTGCTCATTAGAAATTATTTACTTTCTAAGAGTAAGCTATATTATACTTGTTTGGCCTTCAGCTTTAAAACTATTCCACTCAGAATCCCCCTGCCCCAAAATATAAACTTGATCCTTCACTGCAACTTACAGGGAAGTGATGTACAAGTAGTTTACTTAGAGAGTGCATGCAATTTTTCACTGCTGTAGAAATAAATGTGGTGTTAATAAACAAGCCAAAGATCTGTTAAAAAAGACCCCAGACCCTTAATGTAAACTCATTCCAAAGCAAAATCAAACACTAAAAAGAAAAAAAGAAAAGAAAAATAAAAACCTTTCCAGTTTTCAGTATTAGGTAGACTTTTCAAAGATGTTTATTTTTTGTATACAAGTATACATTTAGTGATTTTTTTTCCAAAAATCTTCCAGTGGAAAATATTAGAGGATTATAGTTTTGGTGAGGCAATCAGTAGTATTTAAGCAATAACCCTTACAAAACTATTATTTCGGCTTCCGGTGGGAGGCGACGGCGATGGCGGCTAGCTTTTAGCCGTCCAGCTGGGGAAGTGTCAGAGCCGCGGAGCGCAGCGTGCATCAGCTGGCCCGCGGCTCGGAAATCCCTTCCCGGGCAAAGGGAAGGGATAGAGAACGCAAGAGTAGAGGTAGAACCCCTGAACCCCCTCTGGATTTATTTCTAGAGGGGGTGAAAGGAGTGTTCCCTCGGAGCTCTTGCTGATCTCCGCCTCCCAGCTGTTTTTGCTTCCTTGGAAGCAAAAGAAACCGCCGCTTCTATCTCCGTGTTTACAGCATTTTGGTGAGTAATTTTTAAACGGACGGAGCAGTTTAAAGGACTTTTTTTTATATTTTAGGTGTTTATTTTTTTATCTTTTGATTTTTACTACTTTTCCTCCTTTTCTTTGTTATACTAGTGAAAGGACTTAAGATGGCGTTTTGAAAGTGTCGGAGTTTTTTTTTCCTTTCTCTTTTGTTTTACTTTCCCTTTTTAAGGATTGTTTTTTGCTTTTGCTTTTGCTTTTGGCTTAGAATTTTTTTTTTTGAATTGTTTGCTCTTTTATTACTTATTCTTGGGATTTATTCTGGACTTTTAATGATTATAGTTTGTCTCTTTTTAAAAATTCTTTTTTTCTTTTTTTCCTCCTCCCTTTTTGGCTGGAGGGGAAAGGGAAGTGACAATTGTGCTTTTTAAAATGGCTTCAAAGAGGCAGCAGCCTTCCTCAGTACCCAAGGTTATTTCTTCTCCTATAACTTCCACTGCACAGCTACAACAACAATCTAAACATGCACCACCGGCTCAGCCACCACCCTCCCCTCCTCTACCTGGACTTTCAGTGCAAGAGGTTAGAGGCATAATGGGAGAGATTGTAGTTCAAATGAGAGAGGAAATGACTCAATTTGTTTCACAGATTAAATCAGAAATTAAATCTGATCTCAAAGAAGAGATAACGGGGATAAAGTCTAAATTGCAAGAAAATAATAATGAATTACGACAAGATATACTGGCAGCTGTTTCAGGTTTGGCTACTGTGGTGGTTAAGCTCGATGCAAGGCTTGAGGAAGTGGAAGACAAAGTTGACTCTTTAGATGACAAAATTCAAGACGTGGAAAGGAAGGTGGACTCCTCACAAGAAGATATTTTGATGTTTCAATACAGACAAATGGAGTATGCTCTGAGGATTAGAGGCCTCAAGGAAGATATGAATCAAGATTTGATGGAGGTGGTTCTTAGTGATCTGGCGCTGGCTTTGGATATGGATAAAGGAGAATTACAGAGAGAAGTAGAAAAAATTTATAGACTCAACTCCTGGATTGCTAAGCAGAAGAATTTGCCCAGAGATGTGGTGATTTACTTTACAAAGAAGTCCCTGCGGAATGAGATTATACAAGCTTTTTACAACAAAAGATTTCAGATTGCCGCCCAAGATGTCATCATTCTAAAGGAAATCCCATCTAAAATTTTAAGAAGTAGGAAAGACTTTGCTTTTTTAACCAATGAGCTTAAAGCTAGATCGATGCCATTCAGATGGGAAATTCCGATGGGTATCGTTTTGAGCCATGCTGGGACACGTTACAGATTGAACACAGTTGACAAAGCTAGAGATTTCTATACTTCGGTCCTGAGTGCAGGCTCAACTTCATCTGGTCGGAAATCTTTGAGTGCTAAGGAACCTGAGCAGCAATCTGAGGCACTAGATTTGGTTTCCGCAGGGATGATAGAAGTGGCAAAGCAACGCCAAACGGAGGCTAAAGAGCAGAGGATGACTCGTGCAGCTTATAAGCGTAAAGAGAAAGAGCAACGTAAAAAAGAGCCCAAAGAGAATTCTCCTGGAAGTGCATCACCGCCGGTGGGAGGAGCAAGACCCAAGAGTTATGCAACACACGCAGCTCTGTCAGAGTTTGATGGTGTCTTCTCCAGGCTGCGTGCCAAGGGAGATGGCAAAGTTTTTGACCTGGAATGTTAATGGATTGAATTCTCCTCAGAAACGGAAAAAAATCTTTTATTATTTGAAACAACATACCAATGATGTTATTTGTTTACAGGAAACTCATATTCTACTTAAAGATCAGAAATATTTAGTTAATGCTCGTTTGGGATCTCATTTTATATCTCCTGCACCTGGGAAGAAAGGGGGAGTTGTTATATATGTCAAACAAAACCTGCCAGCTTGTCTGGTAGAATCAGATCCCCAGGGGAGATATGTGATGATTGAACTTGGTATTTATGGTAAGAAAGTACTTATAGTTGGACTTTATGCTCCAAATCAACAACAGGAACAATTTTATAAACAGTTACACCAAAAAATAACTTTGCTTGATTATAGATCGGTGGTATTAATGGGTGATTGGAATGGTGTCTTAGATACACAAAGGGATAAGAAAGGTTCCTCTCCTTTTCTTAAACAAGCAAGGCTACCTAAAGCCTTTTTTGATATGAAAGAAGACTGGGAATTAAGGGACTATTGGCGGGAACGTAATCAAGAAGAGAGAGACTTTACTTTTTTTTCTGACAGACACCAATCTTTTTCAAGAATTGACTTTTTCTTGATTACCACGGATTTGTATAATAAAGTAAAGAATGTAAAGATTTTTCCTAGATCACTGACGGATCATAGTCCAGTTTGGATGGAGTTGATTCAAGAGAAAGAGGAAAGAAGATCCTGGAGAGTTAATGAAAATTTGTTTAGACAAGAGAAGAATGTTCAAAAACTAAAGGAGTGTTTAAAGGACTATTTTGCTTTGAATATGTATAAGGGGACTTCAATGTCAATGGTATGGGATGCAGGTAAAGCATTTATGCGCGGTGTTTTGATAAAAATGAATAATTTTTATAAGCGAAATCAGATTCAGAAACGTAGAGAACTTGAAGATGAAATTAAACTAAAAGAAAGGGCTTTGATTCTAAATCCTTCTGATGAAAGTACTAAAGAATCTGTAAAGTTATTAAGGTCACAATTTAATATGTTGATAGCAGATCAAGCTGCAACCAATTTATTATTTATGAAACAAAATACATTTTGTAATGCTAATAAGCCGGGGAGATGGTTGGCTTATCAATTAAGAAAGAAACAGAGACTGAGAATAATAGAGAAAATAAATTATAAGGGTAAACTAGTTTCTCAGAAGGAATTAATTAAAAAATCTTTTTTGGATTATTATCAAAACCTATACAAATCTACTAATGTACAACTGTTAGATATAAATAAATATTTAGCTGAGGCAAGTTTTCCTAAACTGACTGAGGATCAGAAATATGAAATTAATGGTTTAATTACTAAGGAGGAAATCGCCTCAGCAATTCAACAATTGAAATTAGGGAAAGCACCGGGTACGGATGGGTTAACAGCTGTTTATTATAAAGCTTTAATGGAGGAGATGATTCAACCATTAAATGATCTTTTTAATGGTATCTTACAGGGTTTAGAGATTCCTCCTTCATGGCGTAGTGCTTTTATATCATTGATTCCAAAGGAGGATCAAGATCTTACTTTACCAAAAAATTATAGGCCTATATCTCTTTTAAACGTGGATTATAAGATATTTGTAAAAATTTTGGTAAATAGGCTTATGAGGGTGGTGCATCATCTTGTGCATAAAGATCAATCAGGGTTTATAACAGGAAGGTATATGAAAAACAATGTTAGACAAATTATTAACTTGTTAGAATACTTAGATAAGAACAACCAAGTTCCTGCAGGGCTCATATTTTTAGATGCTGAAAAAGCATTTGACCAACTGAATTGGCATTTTATGCTAAGAGTAATGGAAGAAATGAATTTTGGTGAAAACATATTACAAGCCCTTAAGGTAATATATCAAAAACAAACAGCACAACTTATTGTTAATGGAGGTTTGTCGGAGGTTTTCACAATAGAGAAAGGTACTAGACAGGGGTGTCCTTTATCGCCATTGTTGTTTGTTTTAACATTGGAAATATTATTGATTAAAATTCGAGAGTCTCAGGAAATTAAAGGAATATATGTTAATAAAAAAGAATATAAGTTGAGAGCTTTTGCGGATGACTTGGTTGTTACTTTGTCGCAACCTGATTATTCTGTAGTAAACTTATTACAGTTGATTCACCATTACGGTTTGGTCTCGGGTTTCAAGATTAATGTAAATAAGACTAAAATTTTACCTAAAAATTTGTCGAGTCAGGAGAAGCAGATTTTGGTTAACTCGACGGGTTTTGAGATTGTTAATAAGGTAAAATATTTGGGGGTGATGCTGTCTGTTTCTAATGCAAAACTATTTAAAAATAATTATGAAAGGTTGTGGGTCGGGGTACAGAAAGACTTGAAGAATTGGGAAAAGCTGCAATTATCCCTCATGGGAAGAATTGCAGTGATAAAAATGAATATTCTACCCAAGTTTCTTTTTTTGTTTCAAATGTTACCAATTTTGAAAAATGAGATTAATTTAAATGAGTGGCAGAAGGGTCTCAATAAATTTATTTGGGCAGGGAAAAAACCAAGGGTTAAGTTCAAAATTATGCAAGACTTCCGTGAGAGGGGCGGACTCAAGGTACCAAATTTGAAATTATATTATGATGCGGTGGTTTTAACATTAATTAGTGACTGGGTAAATTTGACAAATTCTGAGATACTTTATCTAGAGGGATGGGATTTACTTTATGGGTGGCATGCCTATTTAATATTTAATAAAAAAATAGATTGGGCTTTTAAATCTCATATTTTAAGAATTTCTTTACTTAGGATTTGGAGAAAATATTATAAAAGTGATTTTAAAGTACCATTATGGGCTATACCTTGGCATGCGATAGAAGGAATAAAAAGAGGGGTTAAAATGGATATGGTGTCTTACAGACAGTTACTTAAATGGGATGGACAAAACTGGCAATTAAAATCACGGGAAGAATTAGCACAAGAAAATTTTATTTATTCTTGGTTCCAATATAGGCAACTATTAGATAGATGGAAGATGGATTGTAAGGTGGGTTTTCTTAGAGAAGATGAAAATCTTATTAAGCAACTGAAGGATCAAAGACAAACCCACATTAAGAGAATTTATGGGGTTTTAGTTGAATTGGACTCAGAAACGGAACTAATTAAAGATTGTATGATTAGATGGGCGCAGAACTTTGGTGAGCCAGTTTCATTGGACACCTGGGAAACTATTTGGGTGAGAAATGTCAAATTTACTCAAGCACAGAATCTAAGGGAGAATTTTTATAAAATGTTTTATAGATGGCACCTTGATCCACAAAAAATGTCTTACATGTACCCTGACGTGCAACCTAAATGTTGGAGATGTGGTTATAAGGAGGCTTCCTATTATCATATTTGGTGGTCATGTAGAGAGATAAAAGCATTTTGGATCAAAATATGGTGGAATATCCAGAGAATTTTTAGAAGGAGGGTAAAATTTACTCCGCAATTATTTTTGTTAGGTATTGTTACAGATTGTGATACAAAGGAGGTTGTATTGATGTTAAACTTGATCACAGCCGCGAGGCTGTTAATTGGACAATATTGGAAGAAGGAATCTTTGCCTACATTGCAGGAATGGTTTTTTAAAGTAGCTTATCTGGCAGAAATGGCAAAGATTTCGGCTTTCTTAAAGCAACAAACGCAAGAGAAGTTTTTTGCTATCTGGGACAAATGGATAAAATTTATACAATTTAGATTGGGTATACAAAAATATTATATAGCTTTTTCATAAGTTTTATTTTTATATATATTATAGATATCTTTTTTATATATATAAATATAAAGTTTTTAATTTAATTTTTATTTTTATTTTTATTTTTTTTTTATTATTATTTCTTAAGCCTATATTCTGCTCTGGGAAGCTCAGGGGGGGGGAAGGGAGGGTTTTTGGGAGGGGTGTGGGTTGGGGGGTTTTTTTTATATGTATTGTTTAATTTTTTTTTTCTTTTGTATATGTTGTTTTTTGTTCTGTATTGTTCTTGTTTTTTTTTGTAAAATTTATAAAACTTTTAAAAAAAAAAAAAAAAAAAAAAAAAAAAAAAAAAAACTATTATTTCAGAAATGTAGAAACCTACAAAACTGGTTTACTTAACCTCTAACCTTTCATTCATGTCGGAACTATATTTTCTCATATAACTGGGAATTTTTATAATTGCAATTCAAATCTTCTCCAGCCACACTGAAGAAATCAGGTGTTCAAAAAACACCTGAATTTTGAAATGTAAATTTTATTCTTTGAAAGAAAACTGGAAAAATCTTTTTTTCTCTCTCTCTTTCTCTCTCTTTCTTTTGCTGCACTTTGGCAAACGGAGAGCACAATACCATTCATGCAGGAATATATAACCACTTCCCCTGTAGCTGCTTACCCCTTGAAGGTCAGAGATGAGCACTGTGGTCTCAGTGGTACTTAGGCCCTGCCAGTGGCATCATGGAAAAATATAATGCTGTTAGTGTGGTGCAAAAGCAGCAGGATGCTTATAAAAATGCAGCAACCATAAAACTCTGTGGCATTTTTTGGTTTGTTGTTTATGGTTCAAAGCTGTGATGAATGATTCCCAGTTTAATTCTTAAAACAACTATGGATCACTTAAGCCATTTGTCATCTTTTAAGTATTTAGACTAGATAGGAATCTACTAATAACTTATGTTTGACATGGATTTTCTCTACTTTGTCAAACATTTAGGATTATAATTTTAAAAGCTTGCTATATAAAGAATGACTCAATAATACATTTTGGATGCGATTAAAAAGTATTGACATGGCATTTTTGAGCTCTTTAAATATTCTTACACAAATTTGTTTCATTTAGATATTCAATGTTCAGGTCTAGCAGTCTCTGGAATACAATCCATATTACCCTATAAAACAGAAACCTAATGCAGGTTTCAAGAAGATGTTGAATTCAATACAATAAAGTTATTTACATAATTTAGTGCCAATGCTGCTATAGCACTTAAACATAACAAAGTGAATTACATTGATAAGTGATGTTGGCACATTAAGAAAAAAGGGAACAAATGCTTGAGGTATTAGTTTTAAATATAAATAGGGGAACTGAAACAATCGCCTAGATATATTAACTTCATGAATATGTATTGGGGAATGATTATTTTTTTTATTAAACATGCATTTTCTTTTAGTGTTCTTTAGCAAAAATTAAACTAGACCTATGTTATTAGTGCGTGATTAGTTTGAAAAACCCTTAAATAAATGAACATCTCTGTACTTTCACAAATTTCCTTAAAATAAAAGCAGAGAATTTGTTGTAAAAAGCAAAGTATACATATTTAGTAATCTATCAGAACTAATTTGAGCAACACCACTTACATTGTCATAAGTATTATGAATAAAATGTGTTCTCCTAATGATATTTCCATAATTTATCTTGTAGGCCATATAACTTGCTGTCCATAAACTAGAATTAAAGAGCTAGAAATTTCTGATCTTTTAACACTATTATAAATGTGTATCCAGCCTTTATAGCCAAAAGCTATCCAATCTTGCTGTCCAATTCCCACTGCCTTATCCCGACGCTTCACTTATCCACCTTAAAATAAAGCCATTCACATTTCCTCATCTGCTTCCAATCCTCCTCCATTGTCTATCCCAAATTAAAACATGTCAAATCTGCTCCCCTACTTTTGCCATCTTCTCTTACTATCCTTCACTGCAAACACCAATTTCCACCTACCACAATCTTCACTGATTTGAATCCTTTCTTTTTTCTATCTTGATCTTTTCCTTGCCTCCCATCTCTATTTTTATTTCACTCCTTTTTCCCACATCTTACTATGAGCACTGATTTTGTTTCCCTTTCCTAACTTCTGTAGATTAATCTGATTGAAACTTCAGTATAGTTTTTTTTTGTTGTTTTTAGTATCTAGAATATAATATTTGAAAATTAATTCAAATCTTGCCTGATCTTTATGTTCTCTTAGGAAATTTCAAGACAGTAAGTATGAAGTCTGGTGAGACATTCAAAAAGTCAATAGTTAAAATATTAACAAAAGTATTTAACTTTGGTAGTTCAAAACTTTACCAAATCGCACTGTGACTTCTAAGTCTGAAAAGTTGTGAATTAAGGAAACAAATGAGATGTACAAGTTGACTTATGTTAATTATTTATATAAAAATATGTGTACAATCTGAGATGTTTAAAGTTTTTTCCCTTCCATTTTTATCCACATTTATATAAATGTATTTTTTTATATTTTGATTTGTTTTAGAATTATATAATTTATATTATATTCTAGTTGATAAATCCTTCTATTAATATCATTTTCCATAGCCCTGAATGTAAAGAATGTACATAAGCAAATATGCAAATCAAAGAAATTTCTATTAAGTAGTTCCAAAATAAAACAGTAAATTTTAATCTCAGGGCATGCTGATGAATGTATACTATGGGAAAGAGACTGTCTGGCTAATATAGCGGTTAATGTTAGAGAAAGTTGGGCCTCTTCAAAAGTTATCCCCATTTCCATATGTAAATTCTGCATCAAAATATGGAATTTAACTTGTAAAGAGAATCGGATCAAGGTGCACGACAGAACTATGCTGTTTGCAGGGGATAATATTAGCTACTATTTTTCTCTTTGCCTTCAAGATCAAGTCAATTTTCTTTTCAGACTCTGTTTAAAGCAAGTTAGGAAATACATAGTTCCATTTCTATAGTTGGAAATTCAAATAGATTTAGGTTGATTTAAAAAGCAGTCCTATTTTTGAAAGTTGGTGAAAGTTAAGATAACAAAGAGGTTGCTTCCTATGGCAGGAAAAGAGTTGAGGCTGTTTCTAATGATATTTGCATAGGGAGAAAGCTATTATTATTATTATTATTGGATCATTGCACAGTCAGCCAGATGTTCAGACTGGATTTGGCATTTTGTCTACCTATCGAGTCCTTACCCAGGACCTGGGATAGGCAGATGTGGATGTTTGATGGTTATTGTTTATTATTATTATTATTATTATTATTATTATTATGGATCATCGCACAGTCAGCCAGATGTTCAGACTGGATTTGGCATTTTGTCTACCTATCGAGTCCTTACCCAGGACCTGGGATAGGCAGATGTGGATGTTTGATGGTATTACAGATATCGTCGCAGGATGGAAGCAGTTCCTAATAAGGCCGCCTTTTGCAATTGACTAATAAAATTTGTCAATGCCAATTGTGTTCAAGTGGTGCTCCAGTTGTTTTGGGATTGCACCCAAGGAGCCTATGACTATTGGTACTATTATTATTATTATTATCATTCATCGCACAGTCAGCCAGATGTTCAGACTGGATTTGGCATTTTGTCTACCTATCGAGTCCTTACCCAGGACCTGGGATAGGCAGATGTGGATGTTTGATGGTATTACAGGTATCGTCGCAGGATGGAAGCAGTTCCTAATAAGGCCGCCTTTTGCAATTGACTAATAGCGAATTTGTCAATGCCAATGGTGTTCAAGTGGTGCTCCAGTTGTTTTGGGATTGCACCCAAGGAGCCTATGACTATTGGTACTACCCTTGCTTGCTTTTGCCACAGTCTTTCTATTTCTATTTGTAGGTCTTTGTATTTTGTTATCTTCTCCAGTTCTTTCTCTTCTATTCTGCTATCTCCAGGCACTGCCACATCCACTATCCAGACTTTTTTGTCTTTCTTATCGACAATTGTTAAGTCTGGGGTGTTATGTTGCAGGTGCTTGTCTGTTTGAATTCTGAAGTCCCAGAGCAGTTTAATTTTATCATTTTCTATGACTTTCTCTATTTTATGATCCCACCAGTTTTTGCTTACAGGCAAATGATATTTTTTGCAGATCTTCCAATGCACCATTGTTGCTACTTTGTCATGCCGCTGCTTGTAATCAGTCTGTGCAATCTTCTTGCAACAGCTTACCAAGTGGTCCACTGTTTCTTCAGCTTCTTTGCATAGGCGGCACTTACTGTCTGTTGCTGTCTTCTCAATTTTGACTTTGTATGCATTTGTCCTTAAGGCTTGGTCTTGTGCAGCCAGAATTAGTCCCTCGGTCTCTTTCTTCAATTTTCCTGCTCTTAGCCATTGCCAGGTTTTATTATTATCTGCTTTCCCAGCTATTTTTTTCATGTATTGGCCATGTAGTGCTTTGTCTTCCCATGCCTCTATTCTGTTCTTCATTTGGTCTTTCTTGTAGGCCAGTTTGGTCTCTCCAGTAGTTAGTAAGCCTTCCTGATATACTAATTTCAGTGCATCTTCATCATTGTTCTTCAGATATTCTTCCAAAGTCATTTTTTATTATTATTATTATTATTATTATTATTATTATTATTATTATTATTATCTCACTAACTCTTACAAGTGGAATTGTCTGAAATGGGAAGTTCATAGACAGGTATGAACAGGAACGGAACACACAAGAACTGGTTTCTCCTTAAAAGAGATACCCAGTCCAGGCTAAATGATCCCATTCCAAAACAACCTGGAGAAAAAAAAATAAAAAAAATCCTATTATAGTTAATGGGAGGTGAGGTTGCCAGTCTGTTTTTTAATATATCTGATAGAGATAAATAATGAAAATGCACCCACTGTCATTTTCTACTCAGGTAAGTGAACGTTGGTATAATTTGGCCAAGGTGTTAGTGCTGTTTTTAAATTCTCTATGGAACTAATCTAAGGATGCCTTAAAAGTAACATAAATATATGAGAATTGATGGAATGGATATTATTTAACAAGTTAAAAATGCTGTGTTTAGTACACACTTATATGATTGACTTAACTTAAAAGGAAAATAAATTAACTCAAATTAATGGAAATAATGGTAAAATGAACATGAGGCACACACATTCCCAAACTGGAAAGAAAAAATCATTAGCTATCAAATGTTGAAAATAAATACAATATTGCAAATGGTTAGCAATGAAACAGCTGAACATCATTACAGGTCATCTACCCCCATTAATGATGTTTTTAAAGTACAACTTAGTACTTCAGAACTCATTCTGGGATAAAATTTAGATCCCTTATTGAACTATGGACACTTAGTACTGATACCAACAATTAACTTGATATTATTTTCAATCAGATATGCATGTACGATTTCATTCTGACAAACTGTGGGGAGTAATAATAATAATAAAATATATTTTAAAACAGTTCTGCTCAATATGGTCTCTTCCAGATGTATTGGCTTGGAATTGAAAGAACTGGAATCTTTTTTTGAAAGCAGAAGATTATGAATGGCTGCTTATCAGTATGGCTACTGCTAGATTGCAGACTGCTAATTACATTTTACTTGAAAGTCAACAAATATAAAATTCTGCAGGGCCACAACCAGTAAGAATTGACAATCTTATTATCATAAATGTATGTTTAAATAGTATTTTTAAAATAAATAATAATTAAAAAACATACAAATTTGGTTTGGAAGGGTAAGGTTTGGCAATATTTATAGTTATCTCAAGTAATTTCCATCAATAATATCCAATCTCATTTTACAAAACCATTTATATCCACAGTTAACACTTACCTCAGAATTGCTAGGAAATTCTGATTCTGTATTTGATGTAGTTTCAAACAAAGGTCCATTACTTTCTTCTCCTGAACAATATATAAAAAAAGTATGTTTACTTCTCATGTTTCCTATTTTAAATATTGTTTTCATTTGCTTATATAAGACATATAAACACACACAAAAACTCTTGATCTTAAATGTATTAAAATACTAAGCAAGCAAACATCATCCAGTTTTGCAACATTATTCAAATAATGCAACAGTAAAAGGGATTAAATTTAAACTTTACAAATTTCAAATGCCTATGAAAAGGTCTACACACTTACCATCTTTTACTTATTTTAAGTTGAGCTGCATACAAGTTTAATAAATTAGAATTATTATTATTAATAATTATTATTAATGACTGGGACAAAAATGGTAAGTTAATGTCCCTGGTAAAATATTCTGTAACCAGATACTAAGAAGTCATTCTCTGAAACAACCAATAACAAGTTCACCTTTAGGACTGAAACAGGTATCATCCAGACATCATCAATTATAAAAATATCACTGGAAGAATCTGCTTTCATTTCTGATTAGTCCCAGATTTTAGCAACTATATTCTACGAGTCCACAATAACCCAGAAGCAGCAGCATACAAATGTCAATATAAAACAAAAGGAATAATGAAATTCTTAACCCACTATATTATTACATACTAAGCCAGATCAATGTACAAAACCACTCATTCAGTAAATGAACTCATGATGGCACTGAATGACTGGTACCTATGACTGGTCCTCATACTTACATTGGTGGCAGCATATCCGTGGTCATGTAAATGTGATCTGGGCAATTGTATGCTGGCTCACAACTATGACATTGCAACATCCTTTCATCATGTGATTGCCATTTGCAACCTTCTTTTCCTACCCAAAAAGGCAATGGGAAGGCAGCAGGAGGTCACAAATGGTGACCATATGACGTTCTCACTTAACAACATGGGATTCGCTTAATAATGGCAACCAGAAATGCCAGAACCTCCACTGCACTGCTTTATACCCACATTGCTTAGTGACAGAAATTCCAGTTCTAATTACATTTGTTAAATGAGGACTAGCTGTAGCTTGTTGTTCAGAGCAATCAACACAGTTCAGTTAGCTTAATACTGCATATACCAGTGGTTCTCACCCTTCCTATTGCCGCGACCCTTTAATACAGTTCATGTTGTGTTGACCCCCAACCCTAAGGGCTCTCCAAACACGCATCAATGACGCCCACTCACCCTCCGCGCCCGGGGCTCAGCGTGCCTCACCTGTCCTCACCTCACTTCTGAAGGTTGCCAGCCTGCCTGGCTCCAGCTGGCTGGGGAGGGAGGGCAGGAAGACTGCTCCACCGGCTCTGCCCAGCCTGGTTGGAGAAGCGCCCAGGCAGGGAGAGAGGGAGAGAGAGAGAGCGCGCCAAGAGGGTGACAGCGTCGGCAGAGCTTAGTTCAGCCTCCTCAGCAGAAAGGGCCACAAAGCAGCGCAGCCTCCCTTACGAGATGCTCGATGGAAACGAATCCGGTGCTGCAACGGCCCCCAGCTCGAAGCCGTGCAGAGACGGATAGAGGAGCGGTGTCTCAGTTCCTAAGACCATCGGAGATATGTGTCACGACCCACAGGTTGAGAACCACTGGCATATACTAACTTGTGTATACAGATAGTCTTTGACTTACAATGGAAATTGGGACCAGACTTTCCAGACTAAGTCCCTACAGTCCTAGTTGTCATTGTTAACTGAATCCCACAGCTGTTAGGTGAGGCAATTTTCTGGCACCTTCCCACAACCAAAGTCAGTGGGGAAGCTGGTACAAAGTTGTATGTCTCAGGCCCATAGGTAGGCAAGTGGATATTGCTAGGTAAGGGAGGGAGGGAGGGGCTGTAAGGCAGAATGCATGAAACATGCAGTGAGAATCAGGGAAGGTGCAAGGGAGGATTGGGGAGAATGTGAGGGCATGTGTAAGAGATGCCACACAAGTTAGAAAGGGTGCAGTGAGGGTCAGGATGTGTGCAAGAGGTGCAGCGCAGGTCAGGGAGGGTGCCTGAAGGAGGGTCTAGGTTCTGGTTAAGGAGGGTACATGAGGTTGTACAAGAGGCACTGTGTGGGTCAAGGAGGGTGTGAGGGAATGCATGAGAGATGCAACACAGATGAGGGAAATGCATGATGGTGCAGGGACGTGAAGGTGTGAAAGGGTACATGTGAAGCGTGGCACATATCAGGTGTGTGAAGCTGTGAAATGGGTCACGGAAGAGGTGCAGTTCATGTTAGGGCGAGTGTGCAAGGACATGGCATGGAGAGAGGGGATGAAGGAGAACACCATTGGTGCAGACTATGATGGATGTGTGATGGTGTGAGAGATGCCTGGTGTGTTTCGGTAAAGATGCCCGAGGATATTGTGCAGTCCAGGGGGGGTTGAATGTATGAGGCTGCGGCATGAGGGAGGTAAAGCAGGAGAGGAAGCCACCTTCCTCACAGGCTTCCCCACTTATTTTCTGGGAAAGGCACAGGGAAAGTTGAAAATGGAAATCATGAAATTGTGAGATGCTTGGCAACTGGGTGCAAGTGTGAATGGATTGCCAATGGGCTGCCAGATCATTATCACATCACTGCAGGGTTGCTGGCACAGCCAGAACTCATATTACCAAGTAACAAGTATTTTAAGAGTCTGCAAAGATATTTGGCTAATATAAAAAATACCATGCTAACACAGTTTCACTTACTCAAACAAATATCAATGGATTTATATTTATATTATTCATTACATTTAACATGTTGCAGGAGTAGTTCTTAACAAACCAAACAATGAACTCTAACCTACAACTGAGAGCTAGTTTACTATATTGTGGTTTTGGCACCAGCTAAAAACCAGCAAACTGTGAAATCTAGTTCTGCCTTAGGATAAATGCTGGGTAACTATGGGTCTATTCCTTTCCCTTAGCTAAAGGAAGTGGGCAATGGCAAACCACTCCTAAAAACAATAACAGGAAGACAACAGAGACTAATCCCAGAAGTTGTCAGATGTTAAAACTGAATCAAAGCATAAACGAAAAGAAAGAACTAGGATTGTAATATACTGTATACCAGTGATGGCAAACCTTTTAGAGACCGAGTGCCCAAAAACTGGCCCCGCCCTGCTCCACCCCCTGCCCTGCCCCTGCTCTTCCCACCCATCCCCCACCCCGCCTGCCCGCAGGGCCACTCACCACCTCCAGGGCCTGCCGCAGATCGCTCAGGCAGCCCAGCAACGCTATGCACCCTGCAGCATCAACTGTGCACAATGAGGCGTGAGGGCAGAGTCTTGTCTACGCTGCCTGGCTGCCATTTCCTTGGCTGCGCTGCTCTGCGTGGGCCACGCTCAGGGGTGGCTCTCCTTCAGGGGGGCTGCTGGAAAGGAGGGAGCCATGGGGGGAGGCGAGGCTGGGGCAACAGCACGTGTGCCCACAGAGAGGGCTCTGAGTGCTGCCTCTGGCACCCATGCCATAGGTTTGCCACCACTGCTGTATACATTACAAAATTAATTCAAACCAACTTGTCTCAGGAATTATTATTGCTTTATTAGATATGGACAATATGTGGTCCTTGAACCATTCTTGTATCTTGAAATGTATCAAAGAAGGAGCTGGTTAGGTATAAAACTATATAACTCTGAAAACTCTGAGATACTTAACTTCTGCAGTGAGTTCTTCCCTTTGTCACCATTGTGGCTTCATGAAAGAGTTGAATAGCATTTATTTTCGTTTTAGTTTAATCTCAGTTTGCTCTGCCAGCCAGAGTCAAATGATAATTGATTTTAACAGAATTGAGAAATGCAAGTTACTATGTCAAACTCTAGTTACTGTAGTTTATTTCATACCGTTGAAGTAACAATAGTTTTAAATTTTCATATCTAAATTTATATTCAAACTGTGCCAGGTTTTACTTCCAAATGTTAATGCCACAATTTCAGGACAAATTTAAAGGATAGAAAGGGCGAGTATATAAATAATTTGCTTCCTATTTCCATTGTTGTTGTTAATTGCGAAGTCGTGTCTGACCCATCGCGACATCCTATTTCCATACCTACCATAAAATTCTAAAGCCTCCTTCATACACCAAACCTGTCTTTCCTATGATGTAAACACATCACCAGACATTCTCCTGATGTTCCCCAGATGGTTGAGTTCCAGATCCTGATATTACCTACCTCTGTGACTAGTTCATAAAAAATAGTCACAAAAAGTGGATTTTAAGCTTTTTAAAAAATCCATTTTTTCTTTTGACTATTTTTTTACATTACGACATAAGTAGTATAAAAAACAATTATGCAAAGCCCTACATGAACAGAAGATACAAATGGACACCTCAACAATGGAGCCATCTAAGCAAATTTCCAGTTGCTTGGGAATGTCATATCTCAGTGGTGGCGAACCTATGGCACGGGTGCCAGAGGCGGCACTCGGAGCCCTCTCTGTGGGCACACATGCCGTTGCCCCAGCCTTGCCTCCACCCGCGACCCCCTCCTCACCAGCAGCCTCCCTGGAAGAGAGTCGCTCCTGAGCATGGCCCGCAGGGAACAGTGCAGCCAAGAACATGGCAGCCAGGCAGCGTAGACAAGACTTCCCTATGCCTCAACGTACACAGTTGATGCTGCGGGGCGTGAGCAGACGGCGTGGCCGCCATGGTGCTGCTGGGCTGCCTGAGCAATCTACGGCGGGCCCTGTACGTGGTGAGTGGTCCTGCGGGCAGGCAGGGTGAGGCGGAGTGGGGGCGGGGCAGGGACGGGGCCAGTTTTGGGCAATCGGTTTCTAAAAGGTTCACCATCACTGTCATATCTGATAACACAACCAGGTCTTGAGGGCCTCCCAAAATAACAAAAGGGATGGTAGGGATGATAATGGTTGTAGTGCATTCAGAATCCTGTCTCTGAAAAGTAAGAGATTTTGAGAACCAAATGGCAGGGGTTTAAATTACAGATACAGTAAAGAGGAAATTCAATAAAAGCCAAGGTGATACGTGTGTATTATTTCTACAACAAAGTATGGTTTACTATTCTTTAGAAACTTTGTTAAATCACACAAGGACA